AAGGCTAAACGCATTGAAAAATGTTCACAAATAACCGTAGAGCTATATTACTTTCCCCATACTCCTACACTTTGGAATGCAAAAATTACTAACCAGAGGCTATTTTTCTTAATTTTAAGCGATTTTATATCTTCTTTAATTCATATTTCAAATTGACGACAATAATGTGAACAAATCAAAATAGGTAAAAACAAATAATAACAAAATACACACAACCATATATTTATCGACAACAAGCCAAATGATAAATAGCTCTATGATGAAGTTGACTCAATAAAACCTTTGAAATACCCAAGATGTTGCAATTACTATCCTATCAATATGTGGATTTAGACAAATCGAAAGGACTTTATACCTACTTCTTTATTTTAAATGTATTGCAAAGTAATAGTCCTTACTTATTATAATTATATTTGTAGTTGAGGAAAGTAGATATGGTGTACACAGCATTTCAGATAGATTAAAAGTGTAAGTAATTACATTAAATGTATTTACATGCCTATCTTCCTTGAAGTATCATGGTAAGACTTTTCTTCCAGTAATTATGTCTATAAAGGCATAGTTTTATGAGATTAAACCAGACTTCCATATATATACAAAATTTACAATATTTTTACTATAGATACTACTATTTCTGATCTCCAATGCATTAGATAATGTCATCATGACACGCTAAATGAATAAATATGTTATGGAAATATTTCGTTCTAGTTAATTGATCATTATAAACATGAATAGTTTGGGGGTTTTTTACGCACTTTATTTGAAGGAATATTTTCATTTCAAGGAACTTTGATACACATTAACAAACCTTGAGAAATCACACAATCAACCTTCATCAAATAAAACTAAAAGACAAAAAATATAAGTTATAACAGAGTCAACATCATGATCAGTACAGTATTAAAAATATATTATTCATAAATCATGAGAACTAAATGTACTTTGCCTACGAAGCGCAAACTTTTTATCTTCAAAAACTTGAAAAAGTGTCATGGCGGTGGGTGTGAAAACCTGAAAAAGTGTCGTATCGGCGGGTGTGCGCGTGGAACGAACAGTCCCATTCGGTGACGTCTGATGAGGTAAAGTGATGTTATATATATTAAGACGATCTTGCCACAACGACAAGGATTAAAATAAAATTGATGTTCTGTTTGTAAGTTTTGTTTGTTTATAAGTGCTGTTAGTTGATAATTCAAACCAGAGACGTATATATCACAGGAGTGTCCAGTCTCTGTGATACATACGTCTCTGTTCAAACCAAGCCCCCAGACTAGCTTCTTATCAACTCGCACGTACAGTGTTCTGTACGCTTACGTCATGTCGAGAATTCCGTAAAATATATTGTTCAAAATTTATCAATAGTTCAACCACGCTGTGCTTCTTTTTTGAAATATATAGTAATCGTATTGTTATTAAAAAATAAACTAATTTTGGCTGCTTTTAAAATAGCGATTTGAAAGATCGCGGCATTATTTACGCTGAAAATTGCCGCTAGAGGGCTCCAACTCTTTTCGATATTTCAGCCAATGAGAAGGCCAGGATCGGTAAATTTTGTCTGAAAGGCTGTCGCAATAGGCTGTGCGTACTGAGTACGTTTAGCCTAAAAAGGACACAATGGGAGTCAAGTTGGAACAGGAAAAGATATTTAGTGACTACCCGGATGTATTTCAGGAGGGATTAGGAACAGTGAAAGGAGTTAAAGCAAAAATACATGTTGACTCGGAAGCATCCCCAAGATATTTCAAACCGAGGCCCGTGCCTTATGCTCTGAAGGAGAGAACAGAGGAGGAACTGGACAGATTAGAGGAATAAGGAACTGTCGAGAGAGTCCAATTCTCTGAATGAGCTGCACCAATTGTCGCAATTGTAAAAAACGACGTGTCAATCCGCATCTGTAGTGACTATAAAATGACGGTGAATGGGGTCTCCAAGCTCAATAACTACCCGATCTCAAAGATAGAAGATTTATATGCCACACTCGGTGGAAGGGAAGAGTTCCGTAAACTTGATTTAAGTCAGGCTTACCAACAACTAAAAAAATATGTTACCATAAGCACTAACAAGGGTATATACCAGTACAACCTGTTACCATTTGGGGTTTCCTCAGCCCCCGGAATCCTTCAAAAAGCCATGGAAAACCTCTTGCAAGGAATTTCACATGTTATGGTAAGGGTGGACGATATTCTAGTCACAGGTGGAAGTCGAGAAGAACATCTTAAGAACTTGAAGGAAGTACTTGACAGAATCAGAGATGCAGGTATTCGGTTGAAAGTGTCTAAGTGTATCTTTCCTGCGCCAGAAGTGGTATACCTAGGCCATACGGTAAATGAAGAAGGCATTCAACCCAAAAGGTCAAGGCCATTTAGGACATGCCAACTTCAACAAACTTGAAGGAACTACAAGCGTACTTAGGCATGCTTAATTTCTACAACAGATTCCGGCCTGATTTAGCCACCTTGCTGGCTCCACTTCATGAACTTTTAGTTAAGGGAACTAAATGGAGATGGGGAAAGGAACAACAGTTAGCTTTCAAGAAATCGAAGGATCTGCTGAAGTGTTGGTGCATTTTGACTCGAGCAAACCCATTGTACTGTCCTGTGATGCTTCGCCCTATGGTGTAGGTGCCGTTCTAGCTCTAAAATATAGACAATGGCTTCGAGAAAACCTGTAGGCTATGTTTCAAGAACACTGACAGTGGCAGAGGTAAATTAATCACATTTAGAGAAAGAAGGGCTAGCTATGGTATTCGGAGTGAAGAAATTCAAACAGAATTTGTTTGGAACCAAATTTAAAATCTACACTGATCACAAGCCGTTGTTGGGTATCCTATTAGAAGACAGAAAAAATTCCAGAGATGGCCGCACATTATTAGGTAGGCTTTGACGCTACCCGTCTATGAGTTTACCTTGGAATACTGCAATTTTTCAGTCAGAAATGAGCTCAGTGTGGAGGATGGATGTCTATTAAGAGGCAGTTGGGGATACTTCATGCGGGGCACCCTGGGACTAACCGGATGAAGAATTTGATTCGCGGTTATGTATGGTGGCCTAAAATTGATGGTGACCTTGAAGAGGAGATTCGAAACTGTACACTCTGTCAGTTGAACCGTAAACCACCACCAGAAGCACCTTTGCATCCTTGCGATTGGCCCATCCGGCCCATGGGTAGAATACAAGAGTATGCAGGTCCATACATGGGAAAATATTCCTCGTGGTCATTGATGCGCACACAAATTGGATTCCAATGAACAGTTCTACATCGTCCGCAACAATAGAAAAATTCAGGGTTATTTTTGCCACGCATGGACTTCCGGAAATGGTTGTGAATGATAACGGATCATGCTTTACCAGTCAAGAATTCGACATGTTCATAAGTGAAAATGGAATCAAACTAAAAAATGTGAACCGTTGATGTGTCGTCAAGTGAGGTCAAGGTTAGACTTGGTCAGACCAAATTTGGAGAACAAAGTCGTAAAACAAAACAAAGAAGTCAAAAGGTGCAGCATGACAGAACGTCCAAGGAACGTAATTTTACTGCATCTGATGCAGTATTCATCAAGAACTTTGCAACAGGACCCAAGTGGTTAGAAGGGACTATCGAGTCCAAGTCAGGTCCAGTGTCATACGCGTCATACTCTGTACTGTTGCGTGTGATGGTCGTTATGATGAAACGCCATGTTGATCACATCAGGATTCGTCACTCCCCAGACAATGTCGATGACTACAGATGACGGGGTATGGATAATATGTCTTAACGTGAGGATTACCGGCTAGACCCACAGAGTACTCCAACTGCTCCAACCTTTATAGAAGTTCAAAAGAACTTCTCAGAGATACCCAATGCTGCAGCAACGCCAACTAGAGCAGCAGTTCCTGGGACATATAAGGATTCCCCATCCCTATTGGAGAGTGTCCCAGTAACTCGACCAAGACGAGAGATTCAAGAACCAGAGAGACTCAGAGACTATGTTTGTGCTAAGTAAGGGAAGAAGTTTGTGTGTTGTATACGGGCAGAATAACTACTTCAACCTCTTGAAATATGGAGCAGTTTACTCCTATTTCTAGTCATTATGATACAAGGTCCTATCGTTATATTATGTTTAATGCTTGTTCGCTGTTCATTACAATAATTCTCAAGATAGAAAATCAGACGTTAACGTTTGTGCTATAATGCTTGCTTATTTTCTAAAAGAAAAGACTCAAAACACTGGACTCAGTTCAATATAATTTGGATAATTACTATAAACAAATACTCAAACAAATGGACTGGGTTCAAGTTTATTTTAACTTGATATGTCATTTCTCATTTCTAAACCCAATACAGATGCAAAATTTAATTATGTTTCGACTTAAGGGGGAGGAATGTAGTAAATGTAACCTCATGAGTTATTTCCCTTTAATGAGAAGTTAGAGTAATTAGAGTTATCTCCTGGAATTCTGAAGTCCATGTGCTTGGTCAGCTATGTTGTGCCTCGAGAGTCCTGCTCAAAATAAAAGCACTTTGACAGCCATCTGACTCCGTGTCGTGATTACTTCAATCATGTTTCTAAATTACATTTGATTGATGCCTGTATTCAATTAGCAACCGAAATGTTGGCAATCGAGACGTATATTAATGAATCTTTTTTGTCCATGAACAGGAGTCCTATAGTATGTTTATTTTATTTCGTATGCATAAATATATAGAAATTGTTTTACTCAATATCCAAATCAAAACGAAACGTGTATCATATATTGCCTTACTTGCGGGACTGTGTAAATAGCAAAACTTAATGTTTTATTGACTATTTCCGATAAAATGTTATGACGATGTACGGAAGTTTGTATCAATAACCAGATCGATGAAGAATAAGCCTAATTCTGTATGAGTTATCTCCCTTCAAAAATGTGTTCTGGCATTACGGAAAACAAACCGGCTTCGATAAGTTCGACCAATTGTTTGCAAAAAAATAGCATTTCCGCAGAATAACTGGACGTTCCACGAATACAAATTAGCATTTACTTGATCTGTTCGATTGAGTTGGTGTTCGATTGAGTTGGGTGTTCGATTAAGTTGGTGTTCGATTGATGAGTTGGTGTTCGATTGAGTTGGTGTTCGATTGAGTTGGGTGTTCGATTAAGTTGGTGTTCGATTGATGAGTTGGTGTTCGATTGAGTTGGTGTTCGATTGAGTTGGGTGTTCGATTGAGTTGGTGCTCGACTGAGTTGGGTGTTCGATTGAGTTGGGTGTTCGATTGAGTTGGTGTTCGATTGAGTTGGTGTTCGATTGAGTTGGGTGTTCGATTGAGTTGGTGTTCGATTGAGTTGGGGTTCGATTGAGTTGGTGTTCGATTGAGTTGGTGTTCGATTGAGTTGGTGTTCGATTGAGTTCAGTTGAGTGTTCGATTGAGTTGGTGTTCGACTGAGTTGGTGTTCGATTGAGTTGGTGTTCGATTGAGTTGGTGTTCGATTGAGTTGGGTGTTCGATTGAGTTGGTGCTCGATTGAGTTGGTGTTCGATTGAGTTGGGGTTCGATTGAGTTGGTGTTCGATTGAGTTGGGTGTTCGATTGAGTTGGTGTTCGATTGAGTTGGTGTTCGATTGAGTTGGGTGTTCGATTGAGTTGGTGTTCGATTGAGTTGGGTGTTCGATTGAGTTGGTGTACGATTGAGTTGGTGTTCGATTGAGTTGGTGTTCGATTGAGTTGGTGCTCGATTGAGTTGGTGTTCGATTGAGTTGGTGCTCGACGTTTGAGTTGGTGTTCGATTGAGTTCAGTTGAGTGTTCGATTGAGTTGGTGTTCGATTGAGTTGGTGTTCGATTGAGTTGGTGCTCGACGTTTGAGTTGGTGTTCTATTGAGTTGGTGTTCGATTGAGTTGGTGTTCGATTACATCTGGTTATCTTGCCATATACATATGTTGTGTTCAGTTTGAGAAAATGTTCAATATTTACAAAAATTTGCTGTAATTCCACTTTGGCATTGAACCAATAGATTGAAATGAGTTGCAGCATTCAACAATATATCAGAATATCCATTTTGTACCTTGGTATTTTATCAAGTCAGGACGTTAAGCTCTAGCATAGACCTAAATATCGTTTTGCCGACATGAAAACCCTTACAAATTTCAGGTAGTTCAGTGTCCATTTAGATTATATTTGCTTCTGCATCGTTTGGACGACAGTGTAGGCAATATCTGAGCACATTCTACATAATCTGGCTCCGTCATCTTGAAAAATTTCCGGTAAACTTTCAGCTTGGCTCAACGGATCAAAACAAAAATGGTAGCCAGGCTCTTAAGCCCAAAAACAAATCAATAAGTTCTTTGAGAAAATGCAAACCATTATTGATTGATGATTGGGAATGTCTATATAGAGTTTAACTACTTATTCCTGGACCAAACTTGAGATACGAAAGATGTCCTTTCTCCAAGATAGGTACCATTTTAAGCTATATGTTCAAGGCATGACATAATAAGGGTACTGGATAACGGCTAACAAACCGATCGAACTGAGAGAGACAAAAATTTTTTTACATTGTCGCACAGAAGACAAGGCAGGCTCTTCTTCCGAATTAATTATTATAAGTATATTTATGACGTCACGATGATTATTTCTTGATTATCCTTGTTCAGTAGCGCATGTCTGTATCACAAAAAAGGAGAAATCCTGGTTTTACAGGGACGTGTTAATCTTTTTAAGTGTTCAGTGTTTAAGTTCTTTTAAGTGTTCCTGTCACGGAACTGAGTGATTTTTATGATGACAAGATGTCCAGCTTTGAAAGTCTGTGAATGAATGTGGTTATATGTCATATTGAATATCAAAAAAATTCTCAAAACAAAATTTTTAAATGCGTTTATTTTGTTATTGCTTGTCTGTGTACACGGCTGTGTAAGTGACTCATTCACTAACCAATATATTGCACGTTATGTTGTGACAGCTCAGGTATTCAGACTTCCTGGTCCTCATTATTTCTCTGTTAGCCCCCTTTTGTGAAGAGTATAAAGTGCAAATATGCATGCAGGTAACCTGTATCCGGGTGTATGGGTGTTATATGAGCTTAGACAGATTAGGGAAGGTGTACTTGTGTGATCGATATATGTAAGTCTAGCCTATATTATACCTGTCACACAGACGTGTCATTTTTCCATTGAGCTAGTGGTATAACCAACCTATTTTGGTTAGGGTATAATCGGAGCTCCACCCACTTACTTATTCCTCGGAGAGGCCGGTCCTTGACATAATTAGCTGCTCGTCAACACCTCTTTAAAACAATGACGTGGCACAAGTGCGCTTTCCAGAGTGATTACTGAACTGACCTTTGAGTCCGGCACCTGCACAACATGATTTAATTAGCACGGAAAGTTTGACCTCTAATGTCGAAATTGGAATTGGATTTGAGTTTTCACATCACGTGACACTGTATAAAACAAAAAAAGGTTTTGTCATCACACTCGAGGGGCGGGGCTCAACACCCGTATGTTTCGCGTACTCGTGTTAAACCCCGCCCTTCTCGTTGTGATGACTGACACATCCGCTGGAGTCTATGATATAACCATTACATACATAACAGGATTCAGCGAGGTACACATTGGGTAACCTCTACTGAAAAATATCTGAAAATAAAATACAAAGTGAAAACAAATGAACTGATAAATCAATACAAACTCTTAGAGATAAACCGATGAAATTCGCGTGAATTGTTTTTTCTGTTGGGGATAATTCTACATTGTATGTGATAACATCGATGTGGATTGGCCTCTTTCACAACGTTAGAATCAACAGACTGTGAAATTTCGAAGTATAATAAAGTATCTCACATCGCTTTCACAAACATGTTTACTCTTAATTCAATGGATTTGGATAAAAAAATATGACGTGGGTGAATACTACATACATTGTAAGATCAGTGTACGTAAGAAATTGTCACCATTACCATAATTAGCCAGTATAGCAATGTGATGGTTAGTTGTCGGTAAATAATGGCGCATTTTCTAGGTCCTACAGCTGTCTTTGTGACTGTAATGATACTAGCGCATCATCATAGTTTGTGCTATCCACCGAACAAGAATCTGCTGCAGTGTGATCCTATGGAACACAAGTATTATCGAGCACAGCTCGGAGTGTGTGGTGACTGTGACAAATGTTTCCCTGGAGATGAACTTGTCCCAATCGAGGTAAGAGAATATCAGTCTGACCTAGTCTAAATCTAACCACCATTTGTTTGTTTTTTTTATTGTACCACGTGACAATACTGACATATGAAGTAGAATCATCACAATGCTTTCTAATGATAAACGTTTTGTAAAGATTTGAGAAATCCCGACAATTCGAATCAGTTCGACCTGGAAGTGAGGTATTCTAGGAGTATTTCGAAATATCATTGTTCCTGAAACTTTTAGGTCAGTTCTCGACCTATCTACCATTTACATGTTACTGATGTTTATCTAAATCGTTCAGAATATTAGAATGTCTTTCGTGAACTCTAAATAAAAATTAATCTGATTTAAAGTCTTTTTGACATAATACACCTGTTAAACAACAACGGTTCTAATTCTTGTAGTGTCTTGCTTTTGACTATCGAAAGCATTTACAACATCAGCTTATCAATATTGATGATATGCTACATTTTATATAAGGTCTCTGTATTTGTCATCCTTTTATCGATTTTGAATTCGAATGAGACGTTATGATTATATCGTTACCTCTTGTTGTTGTTGTTGTTGTTGTTTATTGTTGTTTAAAAATCTAGCTAAAATCCCGATATGGGTTGATATCTACAATAGGGGTTAGGATATCATCTAGACTCTTGTTAGGTTAAAAAATTCGTGATGTCATTTTTATATGAATTTATCAATTGTACTTACATTTGGATTATTCAGTTAATAATACAGTAATCCTTAAATGACAACGGACTGATAAGTATCAGTAACGATGTATAAATACATGTAACTAGTGTTAATACACGATCGGTAACGATGTATAAATACATGTAACTAGTGTTAATACACGATCGGTAACAATGTATAAATACATGTAACTAGTGTTAATACACGATCGGTAACAATGTATAAATACATGTAACTAGTGTTAATACACGATAACAAATTAGCGACAAATGTAACATAGTGATAATACACGATTAACAATGTATAATACATGTAACTAGTGTTAATACACGATGGAACAATTATAAATACATGTAACTAGTGTAATACACGGGTAACAATGTATAAATACATGTACAGTGGTTAATACACGACCCTGTAACAATGTATAAATACATGGAACTAGTGTTAATACACGATCGGTAACAATGTATAAATACATGTAACTAGTGTTAATACACGTCCCGAGGTAGGTAAATACACAGTAACTAGTGTTAATACACGATCCTGTGTATAAATACATGTAACTAGTGTTAATACACCCTAGGTAACAATGTATAAATAATGTAAGACTAGTGTATCCTACACGTGACACACATGTATAAATACATGTACTCCTGTAGTACAGATAACAAAATAGCGACTATCCCATCCTGACAAATGACACTCATGTACTTATACTCCCCTTGTACTCCTCCCTAGGTAGGTAGATACACAGAATAGGTAAAGACTATCCCGTGTATCCTGACACATGACACTACATGTACTGATACTCCACCTTCTCTCCTCCCTAGGTAGGTAGATACACAGAATAGGTAGAGACTATCCCGTGTATCCTGACACGTGACACTACATATACTGATACTCCACCTTTACTCCTCCCTAGGTAGGTAGATACACAGAATAGGTAGAGACTATCCCGTGTATCCTGACACGTGACACTACATGTACTGATACTCCACCTTTACTCCTCCCTAGGTAGGTAGATACACAAAATAGGTAGAGACTATCCCGTGTATCCTGACACGTGACACTCATGTACTTATACTCCCCTTGTACTCCTCCCTAGGTAGGTATATACACAGAATAGGTAGAGACTATCCCGTGTATCCTGACACGTGACACTACATGTACTGATACTCCACCTTTACTACTCCCTAGGTTGGTAGATACACAGAATAGTTAAAGACTATCCCGTGTATCCTGACACATGACACTACATGTACTGATACTCCACCTTCTCTCCTCCCTAGGTAGGTAGATACACAGAATAGGTAGAGACTATCCCGTGTATCCTTACACGTGATACTACATATACTGATACTCCACCTTTACTCCTCCCTAGGTAGGTAGATACACAGAATAGGTAGAGACTATCCCGTGTATCCTGACACGTGACACTACATGTACTGATACTCCACCTTTACTCCTCCCTAGGTAGGTAGATACACAAAATAGGTAGAGACTATCCCGTGTATCCTGACACGTGACACTCATGTACTTATACTCCCCTTGTACTCCTCCCTAGGTAGGTATATACACAGAATAGGTAGAGACTATCCCGTGTATCCTGACACGTGACACTACATGTACTGATACTCCACCTTTACTCCTCCCTAGGTTGGTAGATACACAGAATAGTTAGAGACTACCCCGTGTATCCTGACACGTGACACTACATGTACTGATACTCCACTTTCTCTCCTCCCTAGGTAGGTAGATACACAGAATAGGTAGATAATATCCCGTGTATCCTGACACGTGACACTACATGTACTGATACTCCACCTTTACTACTCCCTAGGTTGGTAGATACACAGAATAGTTAGAGACTACCCCGTGTATCCTGACACGTGACACTACATGTACTGATACTCCACTTTCTCTCCTCCCTAGGTAGGTAGATACACAGAATAGGTAGATAATATCCCGTGTATCCTGACACGTGACACTACATGTACTGATACTCCACCTTTACTACTCCCTAGGTAGGTAGATACACAGAATAGTTAGAGACTATCCCGTGTATCCTGACACGTGACACTACATGTACTGATACTCCACCTTTACTCCTCCCTAGGTAGGTAGATACACAAAATAGGTAGAGACTATCCCGTGTATCCTGACACGTGACACTCATGTACTTATACTCCCCTTGTACTCCTCCCTAGGTAGGTATATACACAGAATAGGTAGAGACTATCCCGTGTATCCTGACACGTGACACTACATGTACTGATACTCCACCTTTACTCCTCCCTAGGTAGGTAGATACACAGAATAGTTAGAGACTACCCCGTGTATCATGACACGTGACACTACATGTACTGATACTCCACCTTTACTACTCCCTAGGTTGGTAGATACACAGAATAGTTAGAGACTACCCCGTGTATCCTGACACGTGACACTACATGTACTGATACTCCACTTTCTCTCCTCCCTAGGTTGGTAGATACACAGAATAGGTAGATAATATCCCGTGTATCCTGACACGTGACACTACATGTACTGATACTCCACCTTTACTACTCCCTAGGTAGGTAGATACACAGAATAGTTAGAGACTATCCCGTGTATCCTGACACGTGACACTACATGTACTGATACTCCACCTTCTCTCCTCCCTAGGTAGGTAGATACACAGAACAGTTAGAGAGTATCCCGTGTATCATGACACGTGACACTACATGTACTGATATTCCACCTTCTCTCCTCCCTATATAGAAGGACACGCGGAATATGTATATAGTTAGACCCACTGACATTCCCCTTAGCTCCTGCCCGGGATAGTGGAATAGTCGACCCGTTGGTCTGAAAGGGTTTTTTTCAAGCTGCAATACCTGTGTAGAAAGCAAAGTATTTACATGACTGCAACCTTTATTAGAGATTGTTTATGAATAGAGAATTGTCATCCATGAAAGATAACGTTATCTGAGATAAATACACGTAAATTGGCATACATATCAATGGCATGATCATAGCTTATTTATCTTACAGCATAAACAAATCAGAGCACACCAATAAGGTTCTACCATATAAAGGCGAGCACAGGATAGGTAGGTACTACTTTATATAAACGGGTTAGATCGTGTGTGAAAATAATTAAAGTACTACTATTTTGTCTGTTACTTCTTGAAAACATCAGTATACCTCTTTGTGGATGGATAAATTATAGTTGTTTCAATAGTTTAGATAATTTTCAACACATGAAAGCACATTACATGTTTATTACAATATCCAGCGTCATAAGACTTAAGGGACACTATAAACATTTGATTTGTTTTTTTTTTTTTTTTTTTCAAAACAAGCACAGCAACGTCTAATATCTTATCTACCAGACGCTGTACTGGAAAAAAACAAACACGGAAAGAGAATCAAATCTAAACTTAGATTTATAACAGCAAAGAAATACCGTGAACAAAAGAAATATTTACACGAAGACTCCAGAAAAAAGTATAAATGATTAAGGCCAGTTGCTCCGGAAGAGAAAGCGTCTTCTGCTTCATCGACGACACCCGCCATGTAAATCGTATATGTAATCGTCAATGTAGTTTGGTGAAAATATTCATGACAATTTAGAAATCACAGACGTGCTGATAACTCACAATAGCACTACGATAATAATCTGTTAAACTGACATTCTATTTTGTTTTTTTAATTGAAGGACTCATTGTTTCAAGTTGATGAGTGTTGGACAGGTGTTTGATGTAATAATTCTGTTACATAGTACTTGTGTTCACAGATCGTTTTAACACCGAGTTTCTGGCCTTCACTGCCTTCTCCCTTACCTTACTATTCATTGTTGTTCTGACGGTGTATTGTTTCTGGAAGAAAAAAAAGTACAGTAAGTATACTGAACCATTATCAAGGACCAGTCTATTCTACATCTTGACCGTATAGTAGATACACGTCCTTACACTACGCCAAAAGTTGATGTTGTTTTACCCAGAGATGATGGTTTATTTATATCTTAATCTTTATATCAAGATAACAAATGTGCAGGTTTATCATGCATGTATCTAAGATAACAAATGTGCAGGTTTCTCATGCGTGTACCTAAGATAACAAATGTGCAGGTTTCTCATGCGTGTACCTAAGATAACAAATGTGCAGGTTTCTCATGCGTGTACCTAAGATAACAAATGTGCAGGTTTCTCATGCGTGTACCTAAGAAAATAAATGTGCAGGTTTATCATGCGTGTACCTAAGATAATAAATATGCAGGTTTCTCATGCGTGTATCTAAGATAATAAATGTGCAGGTTTATCATGCGTGTACCTAAGATAATAAATGTGCAGGTTTATCATGCGTGTACCTAAGATAATAAATGTGCAGGTTTATCATGCGTGTACCTAAGATAATAAATGTGCAGGTTTATCATGCGTGTACCTAAGATAATAAATATGCAGGTTTATCATGCGTGTATCTAAGATAATTGTGTGCAGATTTATCATGCGTGTATCTAAGATAATTGATGTGCTGGTTTATCATGCGTGTACCTAAGATAATAAATGTGCAGGTTTATCATGCGTGTACCTAAGATAATAAATGTGCAGGTTTATCATGCGTGTATCTAAGATAATTGTGTGCAGATTTATCATGCGTGTATCTAAGATAATTGTGTGCAGGTTTATCTTGCCTGTACCTAAGATAATTGTGTGCAGGTTTATCTTGCCTGTACCTAAGATAATAAATGTGCAGGTTTATCATGCGTGTACCGAAGATAATTGATGTGCAGGTTTATCTTGCATGTACCTATATACTTAACAGCTTCCATCTTATTGTACCCGTGGGTTATACATGTTATATGTAATACATGTAACTCGACATTATACATCTTCCTATGCATTGTACTTGCATATGTAACTTATATCTATATGTATTTTCTGTGCACGTGTATTATGCTTTTTTTATTTAGTGCACGTGTGTTAACTGTTCATGTGTATTATACTTTTTATTCAATGCACGTGTGTTACCTGTTCTTGTGTATTATACTTTTTATTCAATGCACGTGTGTTACCTGTTCTTGTGTATTATACTTTTTATTTAGTGCACGTGCATTACCTGTTCATGTGTATTATGCTTTTTATTCAATGCACGTGTGTTACCTGTTCATGTGTATTATACTTTTTATTCAATGCACGTGTGTTAACTGTTCATGTGTATTATACTTTTTATTCAATGACGTGTGTTACCTACTTGTGTATTATACATGTACTTTCTGTGTAGTGCACGTCTGCGTTTTCATGTGGATAGTGCCTACATGTATACATGTACGTATTAAAACTTTTCTATTAAATTTGTACCGCTCTTTGATACCTTTCCTGAGTGTAAACTCGTGTCTATATGTATTTATTTGACTGCAATATCTTAATTAAATGTTCCAATAATCCATTTTTCAGGAGAAGTATCCATCAAAGCTTCAGAAATAACCAGACGCAACCATCCTCCAAAACGCGATATGTGTGTTTATACTGATTCTAGTTTACAAGATATACAAGAAGAACGATCTGATGACGACGAAGATGACACGTCCGTCTTTAGATATAAAACTACTTCTAATAGACAAAGGGAAGAGCGTGATCTTAAAGAACCTCTACTACGACGTCGACAGTCGTTTCAAATTGGCTACAGCGGGACGGGCTTCAAATTGGACCCACCTCAAATACATATTTCACGTCAATTATCGAATTCTAAAGTGAATGAGAAAGGAAATCTTGCCAGGGATGATGAATTACGTCGTCGAAAATCTGAACCTGTTACTGTGACGGAGTTTGACAGTTGTCATTCTTCACTTTGTCGGCGTAAGTTACTTCTGTTCCTTAGGAGTTGGACAGTTGTCATTCTTCACTTTGTCAGTGTAGGTTACTTTTATTTCTTAGGAGTTGGACAGTTGTCATTCTTCACTTTGTCAGAGTAGGTTACTTCTGTTCCTTAGGAGTTGGACAGTTGTCATTCTTCACTTTGTCAGTGTAGGTTACTTTTATTTCTTAGGAGTTGGACAGTTGTCATTCTTCACTTTGTCAGTGTAGGTTACTTTTATTCCTTAGGAGTTGGACAGTTGTCATTCTTCACTTTGTCAGCGATGTAACTTCTGTTCCTTAGGAGTTGGACAGTTGTCATTCTTCACTTTGTCGGCGTAAGTTACTTTTATTCCTTAGGAGTTGGACAGTTGTCATTCTTCACTTTGTCAGTGTAGGTTACTTTTATTCCTTAGGAGTTGGACAGTTGTCATTCTTCACTTTGTCAGTGTAGGTTACTTTTATTTCTTAGGAGTTGGACAGTTGTCATTCTTCACTTTGTCAGTGTAGGTTACTTCTGTTCCTTAGGAGTTGGACAGTTGTCATTCTTCACTTTGTCAGTGTAGGTTACTTTTATTTCTTAGGAGTTGGACAGTTGTCATTCTTCACTTTGTCAGTGTAACTTCTGTTCCTTAGGAGTTGGACAGTTGTCATTCTTCACTTTGTCAGCGTAAGCTACTTCTATTCCTTAGGAGTTGGACAGTTGTCATTCTTCACTTTGTCAGTGTAGGTTACTTTTATTTCTTAGGAGTTGGACAGTTGTCATTCTTCACTTTGTCAGTGTAGGTTACTTCTGTTCCTTAGGAGTTGGACAGTTGTCATTCTTCACTTTGTCGGCGTAAGTTACTTCTGTTCCTTAGGAGTTGGACAGTTGTCATTCTTCACTTTGTCAGTGTAGGTTACTTCTGTTCCTTAGGAGTTGGACAGTTGTCATTCTTCACTTTGTCAGTGTAAGTTACTTTTATTCCTTAGGAGTTGGACAGTTGTCATTCTTCACTTTGTCAGCGTAGGTTACTTCAGTTCCTTAGGAGTTGGACAGTTGTCATTCTTCACTTTGTCAGCGATGTAACTTCTGTTCCTTAGGAGTTGGACAGTTGTCATTCTTCACTTTGTCAGCGTAAGTTACTTCTGTTCCTTAGGAGTTGGACAGTTGTCATTCTTCACTTTGTCAGCGTAAGTTACATCTGTTCCTTAGGAGTTGGACAGTTGTCATTCTTCACTTTGTCAGCGATGTAACTTCTGTTCCTTAGGAGTTGGACAGTTGTCATTCTTCACTTTGTCAGTGTAGGTTACTTTTATTTCTTAGGAGTTGGACAGTTGTCATTCTTCACTTTGTCAGTGTAGGTTACTTTTATTTCTTAGGAGTTGGACAGTTGTCATTCTTCACTTTGTCAGTGTAGGTTACTTTTATTTCTTAGGAGTTGGACAGTTGTCATTCTTCACTTTTTCAGTGTAGGTTAGTTCTGTTCCTTTGGATTTGGACAGTTGTCATTCTTCACTTTGTCAGCGTAGGTTACTTTTATTTCTTAGGAGTTGGACAGTTGTCATTCTTCACTTTGTCAGCGTAAGTTACTTCTGTTCCTTAGGAGTTGGACAGTTGTCATTCTTCACTTTGTCAGCGTAGGTTACTTTTATTTGTCTTAGGTTACTTTTATTTCTTAGGAGTTGGACAGTTGTCATTCTTCACTTTGTCAGCGATGTAACTTCTGTTCCTTAGGAGTTGGACAGTTGTCATTCTTCACTTTGTCAGCGTAGGTAACTTCTGTTCCTTACTTTGGACAGTTTCCTTCACTTTGTCAGTGAGTTGGACAGTTGTCATTCTTCACTTTGTCAGCGATGTAACTTCTGTTCCTTAGGAGTTGGACAGTTGTCATTCTTCACTTTGTCAGCGATGTAACTTCTGTTCCTTAGGAGTTGGACAGTTGTCATTCTTCACTTTGTCAGTGTAGGTTACTTCTGTTCCTTAGGAGTTGGACAGTTGTCATTCTTCACTTTGTCAGCGATGTAACTTCTGTTCCTTAGGAGTTGGACAGTTGTCATTCTTCACTTTGTCAGCGATGTAACTTCTGTTCCTTAGGAGTTGGACAGTTGTCATTCTTCACTTTGTCAGCGATGTAACTTCTGTTCCTTAGGAGTTGGACAGTTGTCATTCTTCACTTTGTCAGCGTAGGTTACTTTTATTCCTTAGGAGTTGGACAGTTGTCATTCTTCACTTTGTCAGTGTAGGTTACTTTTATTCCTTAGGAGTTGGACAGTTGTCATTCTTCACTTTGTCAGTGTAGGTTACTTTTCTTCCTTAGGAGTTGGACAGTTGTCATTCTTCACTTTGTCAGTGTAGGTTACTTTTATTTCTTAGGAGTTGGACAGTTGTCATTCTTCACTTTTTCAGAGTAGGTTACTTTTTTTCCTTAGGAGTTGGACAGTTGTCATTCTTCACTTTGTCAGTGTAGGTTACTTCTGTTCCTTAGGAGTTGGACAGTTGTCATTCTTCACTTTGTCAGTGTAGGTTACTTCTGTTCCTTAGGAGTTGGACAGTTGTCATTCTTCACTTTGTCAGTGTAGACTTCTGTTCCTTAGTTGGACAGTTGTCATTCTTCACTTTGTCAGTGTAGGTTACTTCTTTTCCTTAGGAGTTGGACAGTTGTCATTCTTCACTTTGTCAGTGTAGGTTACTTTTATTTCTTAGGAGTTGGACAGTTGTCATTCTTCACTTTGTCAGTGTAGGTTACTTTTATTCCTTAGGAGTTGGACAGTTGTCATTCTTCACTTTGTCAGTGTAGGTTACTTCTGTTCCTTAGGAGTTGGACAGTTGTCATTCTTCACTTTGTCAGTGTAGGTTACTTCTGTTCCTTAGGAGTTGGACAGTTGTCATTCTTCACTTTGTCAGTGTAGGTTACTTCTGGGAGTTGGACAGTTACTTTGTCAGTGTTCCTTAGGAGTTGGACAGTTGTCATTCTTCACTTTGTCAGCGTAGGTTACTTCAGTTCCTTAGGAGTTGGACAGTTGTCATTCTTCACTTTGTAAGTGTAGGTTACTTCTGTTCCTTAGGAGTTGGACAGTTGTCATTCTTCACTTTGTCAGTGTAGGTTACTTTTATTCCTTAGGAGTTGGACAGTTGTCATTCTTCACTTTGTCGGCGTACGTTACTTCTGTTCCTTAGGAGTTGGACAGTTGTCATTCTTCACTTTGTCAGCGTAAGTTACTTCTGTTCCTTAGGAGTTGGACAGTTGTCATTCTTCACTTTGTCAGCGTAAGCTACTTCTATTCCTTAGGAGTTGGACAGTTGTTATTCTTCACTTTGTCAGTGTAGGTTACTTTTATTTCTTAGGAGTTGGACAGTTGTCATTCTTCACTTTGTCAGTGTAGGTTACTTTTATTTCTTAGGAGTTGGACAGTTGTCATTCTTCACTTTGTCAGTGTAGGTTACTTTTATTCCTTAGGAGTTGGACAGTTGTCATTCTTCACTTTGTCAGAGTTGTTCCTTAGAGTTGGACAGTTGTCATTCTTCACTTTGTCAGTGTAGGTTACTTCTGTTCCTTAGGAGTTGGACAGTTGTCATTCTTCACTTTGTCAGCGTAAGTTACTTCTGTTCCTTAGGAGTTGGACAGTTGTCATTCTTCACTTTGTCGGCGTAAGTTACTTCTGTTCCTTAGGAGTTGGACAGTTGTCATTCTTCACTTTGTCAGCGATGTAACTTTTGTTCCTTAGGAGTTGGACAGTTGTCATTCTTCACTTTGTCAGCGATGTAACTTCTGTTCCTTAGGAGTTGGACAGTTGTCATTCTTCACTTTGTCAGTGTAGGTTACTTTTATTTCTTAGGAGTTGGACAGTTGTCATTCTTCACTTTGTCAGCGTAAGTTACTTCTATTCCTTAGGAGTTGGACAGTTGTCATTCTTCACTTTGTCAGTGTAGGTTACTTCTGTTCCTTAGGAGTTGGACAGTTGTCATTCTTCACTTTGTCAGTGTAGGTTACTTCTGTTCCTTAGGAGTTGGACAGTTGTCATTCTTCACTTTGTCGGCGTAAGTTACTTTTATTCCTTAGGAGTTGGACAGTTGTCATTCTTCACTTTGTCAGTGTAGGTTACTTCTGTTCCTTAGGAGTTGGACAGTTGTCATTCTTCACTTTGTCAGCGTAGGTTACTTCTGTTCCTTAGGAGTTGGACAGTTGTCATTCTTCACTTTGTCAGTGTAGGTTACTTTTATTTCTTAGGAGTTGGACAGTTGTCATTCTTCACTTTGTCAGTGTAGGTTACTTTTATTTCTTAGGAGTTGGACAGTTGTCATTCTTCACTTTGTCGGCGTAAGTTACTTCTGTTCCTTAGGAGTTGGACAGTTGTCATTCTTCACTTTGTCAGCGTAGGTTACTTCTGTTCCTTAGGAGTTGGACAGTTGTCATTCTTCACTTTGTCAGCGATGTAACTTCTGTTCCTTAGGAGTTGGACAGTTGTCATTCTTCACTTTGTCAGCGATGTAAGTTCTGTTCCTTAGGAGTTGGACAGTTGTCATTCTTCACTTTGTCAGCGATGTAACTTCTGTTCCTTAGGAGTTGGACAGTTGTCATTCTTCACTTTGTCGGCGTAAGTTACTTCTGTTCCTTAGGAGTTGGACAGTTGTCATTCTTCACTTTGTCAGCGTATGTTACTTCTGTTCCTTAGGAGTTGGACAGTTGTCATTCTTCACTTTGTCAGCGATGTAACTTCTGTTCCTTAGGAGTTGGACAGTTGTCATTCTTCACTTTGTCAGCGATGTAACTTCTGTTCCTTAGGAGTTGGACAGTTGTCATTCTTCACTTTGTCAGCGATGTAACTTCTGTTCCTTTTATTCCCTAGGAGTTGGACAGTTGTCATTCTTCACTTTGTCAGCGATGTAACTTCTGTTCCTTAGGAGTTGGACAGTTGTCATTCTTCACTTTGTCAGCGATTCTTCACTTTGTCAGCGACTTCTGTTCCTTAGGAGTTGGACAGTTGTCATTCTTCACTTTGTCAGCGATGTAACTTCTGTTCCTTAGGAGTTGGACAGTTGTCATTCTTCACTTTGTCAGTGTAGGTTACTTCTGTTCCTTAGGAGTTGGACAGTTGTCATTCTTCACTTTGTCAGCGTAAGTTACTTCTGTTCCTTAGGAGTTGGACAGTTGTCATTCTTCACTTTGTCAGCGTAAGTTACTTCTGTTCCTTAGGAGTTGGACAGTTGTCATTCTTCACTTTGTCAGCGTAAGTTACTTTTATTTCTTAGGAGTTGGACAGTTGTCATTCTTCACTTTGTCGGCGTAAGTTACTTTTATTCCTTAGGAGTTGGACAGTTGTCATTCTTCACTTTGTCAGTGTAGGTTACTTTTATTTCTTAGGAGTTGGACAGTTGTCATTCTTCACTTTGTCAGTGTAGGTTACTTTTATTTCTTAGGAGTTGGACAGTTGTCATTCTTCACTTTGTCAGCGTAGGTTACTTTTATTCCCTGGGAGCTGGACAATTGTCATTCTTCACTTTGTCAGCGTAAGTTACTTCTGTTCCTTAGGAGTTGGACAGTTGTCATTCTTCACTTTGTCAGTGTAGGTCACTTTTATTCCCTGGGAGCTGGACAATTGTCATTCTTCACTTTGTCAGCGTAAGTTACTTCTGTTCCTTAGGAGTTGGACAGTTGTCATTCTTCACTTTGTCAGCGATGTAACTTCTGTTCCTTAGGAGTTGGACAGTTGTCATTCTTCACTTTGTCAGTGTAGGTTAGTTCCTTAGGAGTTGGACAGTTGTATTCTTCACTTTGTCAGTTAGGTTACTTCTTTCCTTAGGAGTTGGACAGTTGTCATTCTTCACTTTGTCAGCGTAAGTTACTTCTGTTCCTTAGGAGTTGGACAGTTGTCATTCTTCACTTTGTCGGCGTAAGTTACTTCTGTTCCTTAGGAGTTGGACAGTTGTCATTCTTCACTTTGTCAGCGTAAGTTACTTCTGTTCCTTAGGAGTTGGACAGTTGTCATTCTTCACTTTGTCAGTGATGTAACTTATGTTCCTTAGGAGTTGGACAATTGTCATTCTTCACTTTGTCGGAGTAAGTTACTTCTGTTCCTGAGGAGTTGGACAGATTTCATTCTTCACTTTGTCAGCTATGTAACTTCTGTTCCTTAGGAGTTGGACAGTTGTCATTCTTCACTTTGTCAGCGTAGGTTACTTTTATTTCTTAGGAGTTGGACAGTTGTCATTCTTCACTTTGTCAGCGTACTTCTGTTCCTTAGGAGTTGGACAGTTGTCATTCTTCACTTTGTCAGGCGTTTCTGTTCCTTAGGAGTTGGACAGTTGTCATTCTTCACTTTGTCAGCGATGTAACTTTTGTTCCTTAGGAGTTGGACAGTTGTCATTCTTCACTTTGTCAGCGATGTAACTTCTGTTCCTTAGGAGTTGGACAGTTGTCATTCTTCACTTTGTCAGCGTAGGATACTTTCTATTCATTACAATAACCTTAATTTCCTCTCGCTGTTTAAATCATTTATATTAGAATGTAAAGTTTCAATAATTACTTACAAATTTCACTTCATTCGTAATATATACAAAAAAAATGTGATCACGTTGAAAGATGTGGACTATTTACTCATATAGTGAAGATATTTGGCACCAACAGGAATGAGTTACCTATCATTTGTTTTTTTTTCCACTAGATGCTCCCTCAGACAGCTTTATCCGATACCTGTCTATAGTATTGGCTGGTGACAGAGACTATCGGCTATTTGCAATTAAAGTGGGCCTGGAAGAGTTCAACATCAAATTAATAGAAACTGAATTTGAGGGAAGAACTGTTGCTGATGTGTCCTACGAAGTGATCAAAAGGGTTTTACAGATAAAACCAAAGCTACGTGTTATTGACATTTACGATGCCTTGGACAAACTCGGGTTTCAAAATGCACGTCAATCATTAATGGAAAAAATTGAACATTTTAAAATACCCCTCCATAACAAATAATAAATGTGTTCCTTTTGACAAGACAGGCTCAAATAACAATGGAATTGTTACACAAATACAAGGCGCATTCGAATGGAATCGTGTTGATGTAGTGACTATTTTTAAACATTCAACATATAATTTATACTTAATGTATATAAAAAGTACAATACTAGTCATTTGATTTGTTGTATCTTCTTCAGCACGACGAAAGGTTTTTGCTAGAATTCTCCCTTTTTATACCATATTCACAAGAGTTCAAAGATTTTCATTAACCATCAATCATCTATTTATGAATTCAGTCCAGAAAAGACTATGTGTGACCTCAATGCCTTGAAAAAAGTCAACTTTGTGTGAAGGCTTGTAATCACGAGTTTGGAAGTCTGGGCCAAGTAAGTAGATGAATGAAGTATGGGCCAAGCTGGTAGAGAATGAAGTTTGGGCCAAGCTGGTAGGTTAGTGAAGTCTGGGCCAAGCTGGTAGGTTAATGAAGTCTGGGCCAAGCTGGTAGATGTATGAAGTTTGGGCAAAGCTATCGATATCTCGCTAATGAATGGCGTTTGATCTGTTGAACAGTAACGTATGTTGTTTAGAAGAAATGCCATATATATCTGCCCATTCAAGGACCGTGAATGTCGATTAGACCAAGATAGTAGTTTTTAGGAAAAATAAACGATTATTACCAGATGAACGGTAATATTTTGATGGGAAATATTTAGAAATTGTAGATTAGTTTTATTATTTAGGATTGGTATACAATTTTCACGGTAAATTAACAATAGCACATAATAACATAGCTGTACCAGGTAGAAAGGTGTATTATCTCCTCAATCGTAGGATAAACAAGTTTGTTTTGAACGTAAATACTAAGTTATCAATATTTGATACTTACGTATCATGTATTTTGAATTATGGTTGCGAGGTTTGTGGCTTTGATATAGCAACACAGATTGAAAAGGTACATTTGTCGTTTTTGAAATCTCTTTTGGATATAAAGAAAAATGTTAATAATTCTATGGTGTATTTCGAGCTATAGGTCGCTTTCCTTATTAGGTTCAGCGAAAGCTTACTATTGTTAAGTATTGGCTACAACTTTTGAAGACAGATAATTGTGTAGCAAGAGCTTGTTATTATGAATTAGTTGATCTTGATACCAAGAAGCCTAATTGTAAGGCAAATTGGATTTTTCATTTGAAACTAGATTTATTTAGATTTGGTTTGGTGATGTATGGTTGGCACAAAGTGTTTCAAATAAAAAATATTTTGTATTGATATATAAACAACGTATACAGGATATATTTATTCAAGACTTAAGAAGTAGATTTGAAAGCCCCTAAACGTGTACATTGTATAAACATATAGTTGATCGGTTTGTGACACAGTCGTACCTCAACAAACCACTATGAAAATAAAAATGATACTGTCTAAGTATAGGCTGAGCGGCTTACTCCCATTTCGCCTTAGCTGTCAATTTCATGGTAAAAAATTATTCCCATTTCGCCTTATTGCCAAAAACCAGGTAGGAAGGAGTCAGCTAAGGCGAAATGGAACCTTGTATATACAAAATAAGGAAGCCAAGTAATTAATTTAATAATGTTTATTCAGCCATATACTAGTATTCTTTTTGCAATGTCATCAATACAAACATAATTAACATTATAGATATATAATATATATTGATATAGACAAGTATACATTTCATGCAACAAAATCTTACAGTTAAGCCAATCAATCTTATCATATCAATCATTTAAATCAAGCACTTATGTTCAAAAGGTTCTCTGTTTCAATATGATATAATAAATAATCCTAACATGATTCAAATTAAGCACTATAAATGTCACAACACTGTATAACTAGTCACTGAGTTTCAGAATGTAGGATGCTGCGTCTTCATACTGGATGAAGTCTTTAGTCCCATTCATTAGATCAGCCTTTAGGTATGCTAGACGTCCTTCTACTTCTCTGTACTTCCTTGCTTTCTTTCGTCTCTGTCTGCCTGCTGCATATTGGATTATCTTCACCTAGGTAGCTGCTTGCAGTCGCTGGAACTTCTCGATGATCTTGTAGATTGTAGATGTTGGGATGTGCTGTCTTTAATTTCTTCTTAAGTTTATTGTACTCTGGGCATGCCATGGAGTAGTTCGGAGTTTGGATATTTCTTCATCATATATGGCTGGTAGTGGACGAAGTTCGTTTTTAGCTCTCGTTCGTACGTTGTTCATAATCTTCTTGCCTTCTACTGCTGCCCGGTCTGGTAGATGATTGTGAACCTGGCCTATCTTTGTGGGTATGTCATCCCCGGTGCATAATTTTGCAGTTTTTCAATACCATGACATCCATGTGTCCCTCTTGTTGTTCTAGCGATATATAAAGCCATTCCATACAAGATGTCTTCCACCTCTGTTAGTCTCTAAAAAGTCTTCATGTAGCATAACTCCTGTCATGTTGATTGTGAAACTGATACTTTAGCATACTGGTAAATGTCTTTTATATATAACATATAAGCTGAAATGAGGAGTTATTCCAAGCTGAATCTCTGTAAGTCTAGTGTTAGTCCAAGCTGTTACTTCTAGGGTGAACAGATCATTCAGTCTGTAAAAATCTACTATGAATATTTTTGCATACATATATCCCCACTATCTAAAACTATAACTAAAAATATAAGTTGCTTATAAACATACATTTCATAGAAAAACTAAGTCTTTAAAATATGATTTGTTCCTTTGAATTATAAAAGAAATAAGAAATAAATTCAATATTCATTTAAATATATTTAATTGATTTAGTGTTAGAATGTACAAGTTCCAATACAAAATGAATTTATTTTTACTTCTTTCAATGTGAAAAATGTAATAATTATTTTTATTTCTTCTTATATTTTACATATCATATATATCAAATCTATATGGCCTTTGGCCTTTGGTCAATTATAATTAAGATTTAACTGTAGAATAAGTTATTGTAAAAACAACAACCGCTGCATGTAATTGGTTTGTTTATCTTTCCACACTTTTCCTAAATTCCCACTTTGCCTTAGCCCAATTCCGATTTCGCCTTAGCACATTTCCACCTGTTTTATACCAAAATATGTAACTAAGGTGAAATGGGAACACACCGGCTGAGCTCACATAAGTTGAATGTTGAAACGGGTAGATACCATGGTGGTAATATTTCTTAAAGACAGTAATGAAATAGAACATGAAATTCATTTTATGTTACTATATTCATCTTATTCAGAATTACGTATCTTATATATCAAGCCTTACTTTTGTCGCCGGCCATCTGTATTCAAACTTATTCAACTGTTATCTAGTAATAATATAAAAACTCTCAGTAATGTTGGCAGGTTTCCAATTCATGCAACGGCAAAAAGAAAGGAATTATTAAATTCTTGAATTATTTTTTACTTATGCTATTCGAGATGTTTTTAAGAAATTGAGTGTTTCTTAATTAATCTATACATTTTCATTTGTCAGAAGTAACACTTCCGAGTACTGGTGCTTCAGAATACCGCTCTGTTTAAAATTTGCTTGATATTTATGCATACTTATGAATTTTGTGTCTTTATCTTATTTGTTATGGCTAATGATTCCCGCCAACTTGTGTAAATGTAAATATTATCATCTGTATATATATTCTTAATCTTATATGTTGTCGCAAATGGAAGGAAATAAAATTAAATAATGAACGAATATAATCATAATTTGGACAAATTCAGACCGACAATGCAGACCAGCTTAACGGGAAATGTATCTTGACCTATTCTCGATACCTACCACATTGGCATTTTACCGGCGAATACGTGTGCATTAGACTTGGGGAGCAGTGTCACAAAACGAGGTTTCATTGTTTCTTATATTTCAAAACAAAACCACAAGGACTACTTACTTTGTAGGGAAACTAAGTGATTAAATTGTACTAAATATAGATATCATGTTGTTGAACAAAGGGATGATAAAACAGTCTACAGAACGCTTATAAGATATTATGATGGATGAGAATGAATGAAATTGACATGTCCACGATAATGATTGATAATATGCACGTTCTGTACAAATCATAGATTTTTCCACGTTAATTCGAAGATCGACTTAACTTTCTAACGTTTAGTTTTAAACACGTTTAACTGATTTGTGAATTTATGAAAACTGAAAATCAAATGGGGTAGAAAAGTATGTGCGTGCTCTGTTTCTGTGGGATTTTATATCTGCTGGTCTCAGCCATCAATTGTGTTATACAGTAAGTGTGACAGAGAGAGACATCATGTAATAACTAGGTTTAATTCAAACGATCCCTACATTTACAGGACACCGAACTTTTTATCAAAATATCAACAGAACTGAGGAAGGCAGAATACGTTGGTTATATATAACACACTGATGTATGTTTGTTAAATTATTTGCACATGTAAAGATGTTTTGTTTCAGTATTTTTTATATCGATCCTGAATTTGTAAATAACAACAGCGCACAGATCAAATATTGATCATTAATCAACATACGAGCAAATTATGTATATCTATATAAGATTTCTGTCACAGGGTGCGAACCGAAATGGTCAGCGAGACATTTAGGATGACATAATCAAAACACGCTCGGGCGCATTTTGTTTTTACAGGTAACCGTTATGACGATTCAGTAAAATTCAGGTGTTCTGGAAAGTTCTCCTATACAGATAACAGTGCACTCCGCTGCGACCAGACGGGTGCGCCGTCTACCTTGATGTCACGCGTCATAAAGTTATCTAATTTACATACAAACGTACATAGATATTGAACTACAGCGCGCAGCTCAGTCATTTCACTGAAGTGACACTGATCAGTAGAAACCTGTGTTAGCGACCATTACTGATGCTGTCTAATTGGGATGTTTATGTATTTTGATTCTTATTTGAAGGGCAAAAGTCGACGTAAATTGGAATGCTGATTCGGTCATGTAAGTACAAATATGCTGTAGTGAGTAAGAAACTTACACGGAATGTTTAATTAACACGTGGATAGATGATTTGATTGAAAATGA